CCATGTGCTGCAAAACTAAAGCACCACGGGGGCAGCTGCCGCCGCGCCCTGCCAGGTCGTTGAGCGATCTGATGCCGAGGTTAGCCCACTGCGACGAATGTGCCAGTCTGTCCCGGCGACGCCCCACGGCGCGGCAAGCCTGTCGCCGGGCAGGCAGATCGCGAAAAGGAGGAAGAGGAAAGACATATCGCTGACGACCGGGGCACATTGGGCCACGGAAGCGCGACGCAGAGGCCTGAAGGAGCCAGTGAAGGTCGGCCTACCTCCTTCACCGGCAGGGCGCACGGCCGCCCCGTTCTCGTCACGTCTTCTTTTCCTTCTTGCTGCCGCCTGCGCCAGCACCTCCGCCGCCGCCGCCTGGCGCGGCCAGCTGCCGCTCCTCCCGCGCCTTGCGGCGCTCCTTGGCGACGCTGCTCTCGGCCTGCAGACGCTCCGCCACCCACTTGGTGAGCTCGGGGCTGGCCGTGATGCCCCGCGTCGAGCCCATGTCGGTGATGAAGTACCCCTCATCCTGCTGGGGCCCGCCAACCCCACGCTGCGCCAAAATGTGGTCCTTGTCCTTCTCCTCGCACGGCTGGAGCTGGCGGGCGACCAGCTCTCCGCGCGCCAGGTTCGCCCCGTCTAGCTGGTCATCCGTGCGCATCGTCTGCGTGAGCTTGCTGAACTCCGCACGCAGGTGGACGACCCGGTCGTCGGGCCCGACCGAGGCACCAAGGGGCGCCTTCCAGGCCGCGCGATGGCCCATCGGAGTGCACCCGTGCTCCATCTGGTACTCTGCGACCCACTGGAAGGTCCGAGGCCCTGGGACTGGCCAGTCGGGAAAGCTAGTGGATCGGTTGCTTTGACCAGCCTCTCGAAACTCTCGGCATCGCTGGGCCGAAGGCAGCGGGCAGGCCAGCGGCCGCGACGGCGCCCGGCAGCCCGGCGGCCGCCCCGCCGCCAGCGCCGCCGCCTCCCACTCCGCCAGCAGGGACCACGCCCAGCCGCTCGCCCTCGAAGCTCGCCATGGCCACCTGCGCCTCCTGGAAGACCCCGACCATCTGCGTGGCGGTCGGGAGGTAGGCGAAGTCGCAGTGAGCCCATCGACCCGGCGCTGCACCCGCCAGGGCCCCGACCCCGCGGGTCTGCTTGAGGCAGTGCGCACGCGCATCCGTGTCCGCCGGCGAGCACTCCTCAACATGCACGTCCATATCAGGGGCGCGCGCCGAGAAGGCACCTGGAACCCGAGCCGAGCCCGCCAGCAGAAGCCGAGCAAGGTCAACATCGTACCCCGCCCAGATCTCGTCCCTGACATTCATCGATGCTGGCCGCCCCCCCTCGGCGCCCGCGGATCAGGCGCGCCCGGGGCCGCCTCGCCCAGCCTCGGCGACGGCGGGGCCGCCGCGCGGCGCGCTCCGGCGCAGGCTCGGCGGGCCCAGCCCAGGCGGCCGCGGAAGAGCTCAAGGCCGAGGAGCACGGCGGCCCCCGCCCCCACCACGAGTTCGGCGACGCCGACGCCCCAGCCCCGCACTCGCTGCGGCACTCGGGGCAGGGGCCAGGGCACGCAGGCGCCCGCGAGGCCAGGCAGTCGCCCAGTGCCTCCTGCAGGTGGTCAGCACCTGCTGGAAGCCCCGCGCCGCCGCGGCGCCGCTGCCCACCCTGGCGGACACGGGGCTGGGCACGGGCGCCTCCTCCGGCGCCGGGGGGGCGGGCTGCGCCGCGAGATGCGCCAGGAACACCCCGGCGAAATGCGCGACGCCCAGCCCGGCCAGCGCGTGAGGGTTCAGCATTCGGAGACCTCGCGAGGGACTTGAGCCAGACAGTTTCGGAAGATAAACCTTCGCGGCGTTCAATCGCTAAAGTGGTGACAAGTGAAACAATACCATCATCATCATCGTCGTCATCATCGTCATCCTCAGCATCGACAGCAGCATCATCCTCAGCATCATCATCGTCACAACCACCGTCACCATCACCATCAATATCATCATCAGCATAAGCGGCATCAACATCATCATCGCCATCATCAACATCATCATCAACACCACCATCATCACCATCATCATCAGCCGTCCTTACCCAGCTCGAACTCGCCAGGGGTGCGATGTCATGCCTGACTCTCGAGACCGATCGAGCTGCGCCGGCGAGGGGCCGCGCGGAGGCCCACGCGCGGGGGCGAGAAACGCTCGAAAGCTCGAACCTCGAGCCAAGACCGCCCCTCGAGCGAAACGTCGGAACATCTAGGTGGACCCAAGAGTAGCGACGAGGACGAGCACAACTTCGGGCGTGCAAAGAGGGCGAAGGATGCCGAGAAACCCTGACCCTCAATTCTTGATCCACGATCCTATCCTCCCCCTCTTCCTCCTCCTCGATCCTGGTCCTTCTCCTTCCGTCCTCGATCTTCCCCCTCCCCCTCCTTGTCCTCCACCTCCCCCTCCTTGTCTGGCGGGCGGCTGATGCGCTACTGCGGCAACGCGAGACAGGGAGACGACCGACTCCGCGATGTGTCCTTCGCACAGGCTGCAGGCAAATCCGACCCCTCCACATCAACTGACTGCCCCTCCCCCTGAGCACCCCGCGGGGAACAAACTATTCTACGAACGTGCACTGTCGGAGGTCCGCGCGGTCTCGGGAATGCGTTCGGTCTCGGTCGTCACCTCCACGTCGGGCGCGACGCCGTCTTCGCGACGCGGTCCTTGGGAGACCGACTGCCCCGGCCAATGGGGCGCTGAAGGCAGTGCCTTCGATGTGCACAACAATAGCATATGTGATAATTTGAACGGAATGTGAAGCGCTCCCGCTTCGAATTGCGAGTGGCTGCGCATTGGCGAGTGCGTCGGCTTGCAGCAGCCCGATGGCCTCGCCGCGCTCGTCGCGCTCGAGGTTCCAGTCGACGCGCCCACGCCCCCCCCCCCCCCCCCCCCCCCCATCAGTTCTTCAGCCTTTTTACAACGGCAGCGGCACCTCCCGATCCATTGCCCTTCGCGCCGCAGTTCTGGACACGACTGTCTTTCCCGCAACAATTGCACATCATCCTCTTCTCAAAGCGGGCCATGGGGTCGAGTTATAAGCCCTTTCCCCTGCCAGTTCACTTTCCACTAGGGCGCCCAAAAACCTGGCAAAACCCCGGCCATGCAAGCCTCGGTTGCGGCGTCCACCCTTGCATCGCCCCTTGCCCCGTCGGTGAAATGTCCTTTGGGCAACTCTCCAAGCCCGTCGTATCGCTTGTTTCTAAAAAAATGTCCATCTGTCTGATGCACGAGAAATGTTCAACGGTCTCCGCATCTCGTATTCCGTGGGGTAGGTCCGACACACCTACGGGTTCAACTCCGTCCGATGATATTCACCCCGCCGGCATCGGTCTCAGAATCGATGGGCGAGCTTCCGTTAGAGGCTGAGTCCCACAGGGCTGTCTGACTCTCAGGTGCAGTGTAGGAGGTAGGGCCAGGATGTCCCTGGATGCGTTGTCGTGGTGATACTGGATGCCCTGTGCCAGTTCCTTGGCCATGGGGGTAATAGCCCGTAATGGCGTGGACTCCTGTGCGTTATGTGGGTCATCGGGCCGCATGTTGATAAACGCGACCGCGCCTGCGCCGGCGGTGGTTGCGCTGGTGTTAGCGTTTCCGCGCCCTGCGGTTACCAGCGCCACAATGCAAATTGTAGCGGGGGCACACTTGGCCAAGTGGCCGCCGCTGCGCATGCGATCCAGCAGCTCGTCGCACTGCTCCTGGGGCCGTGACGTTTGACCACTCACGGTTTGGAGTATTTGGGAGGCTCTTCCAGGGCCGAACCTTGTTCGGAATAGTACAGCTTATCGAATCGGCTTCGAGGCGTGCCATCTCGAACCTGGCGAAGATTGAATCCATTATTCCGTCTGCTTCGGGCGTGGAGTCGATGAGCGCCGTATCTGAATTGAGCCGACGCTCGCCTTCCAACTTCCCAAGTCTGGCGCTCAGTAGAAACAGGATGTACGTGACAAGGTCATTGTGGACCTCTTGTACGGCCACTCCGTAGTTGATGATATGCGGTTGGCTCCGCATCGCTATTGTGCGTGCTAACCCGCCCTGGCCACGCTGCAATCACGCACCTGCTGTTGTGGAGTCATGCGGGACCTGGTGACATTAAGCCACGCATGGTCTTCGCGATTGAACTCGAGAAGCGATGCGTTCCCAAAAGGGGTTCCCGTAGGGGCCCACATCGCGTGGTCGTGTCCATCATTGTGGCTAGCGCATTGCATGCAAACAAGAGCACAGCCGATCATTAACCAGATAACGCCAAAGGTGGTGATCAAATATTGCTTCCATCAAGGGTCGTCGCTGGCGTTGATAGTTACCTTTGGTGTATCTGTCGCCGTGAAACGGCGAGTCGGCTGTGGAGGCATGTCCCAATGTTGGTTTACGAATATGGGTCCCGCGCTTCCGCGCATTTGGAATTCGTATGTCAACTTGTTCCAACCTTCCTGCTAACTGGAGCGTAATGGCGTGGAACCGTGGCGTGTACGCTGTTCCGTGTAGTCAGGCGGACGTCGCACCTAGGGGACATAGCGTTCCCGTGGTTGGCGTCCCCACCTGCTAACTAGTAATCGCGCTCTGACGTCGCAGTGGTAGCGGCAGCATACCAAGACGCGCCGTGCAAACAATGCGATAAGCAGAGCTGACCAGGTCTTCGTGCAGCCAGCTGAGTTACCAGGTATAAAGAAGCGGTATGACCATGGGAAGGAAGGTGGCATGTAACATGTTGAGGGAGGATTGGATTGCACTGTAGAAAGCAAATTGTTGTTTTGAATGCAGTTATGAGCTGCTGGCCTCCAGCGCACCCAAGCAAATAGGACGCCAACGCCTTGAGCCAGTATATATATATAAAAATATATTTAACTCTCTCTCTATATATATACATGAAGACATATACAAATATATAGACATGTATATACGTACACATATCCCAGCCGTCTGATCTGCCTTCGGAATCCCCCCAATGTGATACCCTCCCCTCCTGAAGCCCCCCCCAGTTCGAACCCCCGCCTCCTTCCAAGCGTCCGCTGGGCGCGCTCCTTCGGAAGTGTAGGGGGGAGGAGGAGGAGGAGGAGGAGGAGGAGGAGGAGGAGGAGGAGCAGTAGGAGGAGGAGCAGCAGGAGCAAGAGCCGGAGGGGGAGGATGAGGACCAGCAGGGTCAGGATGAGGAGGTGGAACGGGAGGAAGAAAAGAGGATGATGATGATGATGATGATGATGAGGAGGCGTAGTGGAAGGAAGGACGGCGAGGGCGAGAAGGATAGTGATGTGGATGCAGACCAGGAGGAGGAGGAAGAGGAGGAGGAGAAGGCGGATGACTACGACGACGATAAAGAAGAGCTCGACATCGACGCCGAAAACTCAGGCGGATCAGAAGTAGGAGGATGCGCGAACACTTTAAAGGAACTGCCTTGGCTCAACATGTGTTATTTGGGGATACTGGACTATGGCTGTCGTCCCACCAGCCGTCTGGGCGTGAGTGGTTTAGCGAGTTTCCTCGTCCATTTTCCCTCTTCCCCTTCGGGGAAGGTTTACCCCTCCCCTTACCCCCGCCATCTTGGTTTGGAGGGGGGAGGGTCGCGAGGTGTCAGAATCTTTGTTGGCCTCGGCGAAGAAGCCAACATCATTGATTTTACCATTCGGTTTTGGCCACGGTTTGGCCTCCTGGGGTGGAACCCACTTGGGGAGCTACCCTCCGTTGATGGATCTCTGCCAGGATGGCCCAAACATGGCCCCCGGCGCTCCCAAGGGTGCCCCAAACTGGCCCCAAGAGGTGCCCCGAGAGGCCCCTCATTCGGAGCAAAAAACCAACATCATTGATTTGACGACGGTTTTGGCTACAGTTTGGCCTCCTGGAAGGGCGGGCTCTCCAACTCCTTCTCCAACCGCCCCAAAATGTCACCCGAGGCTTCCAAGAGACCCCCCCCCGCAGGCACCCAAGACGCCACAAGAGGCCCCCGGGACTGCCAAGACACCCCCGAGACGCCCCAAGAGGACTCGGATAATCTTTCGGAATAGGTCCGAAGAGACTCCTAAAAGGCAACCAAGATGCCCCTGGTTTTTCTGCTCGCCCTCCTCCTCCTCCTCCTCCTCCTCTCCTCGCTCCCTCCTCCTCCTCCCTCCTCCTCCTCCTCCCCCTCCCCTCCACCTCCCCCCTCCCCCTCCCCCTCCCCCCCCCCTCCCCCTCCCCTCCCCCCCCCTCTCCTCCTCCTCCTCCTCTCCTCCTCCTCCTCCTCCTCCTCCTTCCTCCTCCTCCGCCTCCTCCCACCTCCGTCCTCCTCCTCGCTCTCCTCCTCCTCCTCCTCCTCCTCCTCCTCCTCCTCCTCCTCTCCTCCTCCTCCTCCTCCTCCTCCTCCTCCTCCTCCTCCTCCTCCTCCTCCTTCCCCTCGCCTCCTCCTCCTCCTCCTCCTCCTCCTCCTCCTCCCCCCCCCTCTTCTCCTCCTCCTCCTCCTCCTTCCTCCTCCTCCTCCTCCCTCCTCCTCCTCCTCCTCCTCCTCCTCCTCCTCCTCCTCCTCCTCCTCCTTCCTCCTCCTCCTCCTCCTCCTCCTCCTCCTCCTCACTCCTCCTCCTCCTCCTCCTCCTCCTCCCTCCTCCCCCTCCCCCTCCCACTCCCCCTCCTCCCCTCCCCTCCCCTTTCCCCCCGCCTCTCCTCCTCCTCCTCCTCCTCCTCCTCCTCCTCCTCCTCCTCCTCCTCCTCCTCCTCCTCCTCCTCCTCTTCTTACTCATCCGCCGTTACTTTTCTGTCGCAACCGCAGGCGAATGGGCCAACGGCGTCGAAGGTCCGAGCGGGCCGCGCAAGAGCAGAATTGCCTAAAGCCGACGGGCCGGCGACCTCAGCGGCCCTTCGGCGGGCGGGCCGGCGAGAGGGGGCGTGCAAGCTGCAGCTGCCAGGGACCAGGTCCAGGAGCGCGCACATGCATGATTAACCAACCAGGGTTGGGGCGCAGCCAACATGGCGCGGGGGTGGTACCAGGATGAGGCCAGACGGAAGCCGACAAGATCCGCCGTTACGCGAAGCGACTAGAATTTTGAACCCCGAACTGTACGCTGCATCTCTCCGCTCCGCCTCTGGTCCCATCGTCGACGATGCTCGTTCCACTGCGCCGCCGGCAACGGGGCGAAACGCGTGGCCGTGCTTCTTCTCCTCTCGCTGAGACTCGATCCGAGACGATGAAGGGGCCCTGGGACACACAAGTAAATAGGCACAAAAAACAGGATCCACCATGTCTTCCCATATTTTTGGTGCTTTTGTCTTCCCCCCCCCCACTTCCCATACCTTCCCGTATTTTCGGGGGAATCGACGATTCATTGTGTCTGTGGTTTTCTTTCCCTCCTGCAACGAGCACCGGCCGACGGCGGCAGCGGCCGACCCGCCGGCGACCCAGGCGCTGCCTGCGTGGCCCCGGAGGCCCCGCACGCCGCGCCCTCGCCCGGCGGCGCCCGCGCCCGCGGCGGCGTCTCCCCGCCGTGCCGCTGGAGACCCTCGGGGCGGGGCCGCTGCCAGCCGCCGGCGAGGCTGCCGCCGAGGCCGCCGCCGAAGCCGCCGCCGCTGGCGGCGTCGCTGGCGTCGGTGGCGGCGCGGCGTCGGCGCCCGCCCGGGGCCTGCGGCGCCTGCGGCGCCTGCGGCGGCGGCCCAGCGTCATGGTGGAAGCCGTCGCCATCGTCGGCGGCGGCCCAGCGTCGCCGGCGGGCGGCAGCGGCGGCGGTGGCGTCGGCGACGCGTTGTCGGCGTCGGCGTGGGCGTCGTCGGCAACGTCGCAGGGGGGCTCCGAGACACCCAGCCCAACCCCCCAAGATGGGAATGGGCCCCGCGAGACCCGCCCGGGAGCAGCCAGCAGACATCCTTACCCTGGGGGGGGGAAGTCAGCCAGTCGGGCCCAGGCCATGCCAGTGGGGACAGGTCGGTCAAGCGATGCTCACTCCGCGGCTCGCCCCGAAGGGGATCGAGGATCGGTACGATGCATTTCTTGTTTGCTTCGACGCGCGGACCACCGAGCCTCATAAGGCCACCTCCAGGCCCCAATCCCGCCCAAGCCAGAGGGAAGCCAATGTGTTGGCCGCCTTTTGACAGTCTTGCTCCCGATGGGCTTCTGGTGCCTCGAGGTGGATCCAGTGTGGCCACCGAGAGCCCCAAGAGATGCACAAAATGGCTCCAAGACGGCCCAAACAGAGCCCCAGAGCACCTCAAGAGGCAGTCTCTCATGCTCCAGAGAGGCGAGACTAAATCAGACCTCCCTGCCCTTGATCGATATCCTCCAAGATGGCCCAAACAAGGCTCTCAAGGCACCCGTTAGGGCCCCAGAGGCCCCCAAGAGTGCCTCACTGGCCCCCCAAATGCTCCTACGAAAGCCCTAAGACGGCACCACGAGGCTCCCTCAACGAATGACTCGCAGAGGCCTTTATGGTTGAGTCCTGGTCGTAGTCGCCGTCGCCTTCTTCCCCCCATCCTTCTCGTCCTCCTTCTGCCACCTCATTATCCTCATCCACGTCCTGGTCCTCCTCCTCATCCTCCTCCTCTCCCTCGTCCTGCTTGTCCTCATCAACAACCTCCTCCTCCTCCTCCTCCTTCTCTGCATCCACCTAGGGTTCGTCATAAGTTGATTGGAGACGTGCTCTGTCAGACCAATCGTTCTTCTGATCTCACTCCTCCCTCTCCTCATTTCTCCTCCTCCTCCTCATCCTCTTGATCATCTTCATCTTCGAAATCACGTATGCTCATCCTCTTCCTCCTCCTCCTCGTCATCATCATCAGCAGCAGCACCCACCCTCCTCCGCCTCCTCATTCGACAGGGTCGCGAAAGCACGTGGTTCACTGCTGGGCCTGCTCATTCTGATCCAACACTCTGGTTTGACGGCTGACCCCCTCTCCGTTCCACTACGTGATCCTGCAATTGTTTGATCCGTGCAACTCGCCTGGACACCGTGTCTGGATAGGCCGAGGGGGGCACGCGAACCGCCTCGAAGTTTCGAGGCGGAGCGACAAGAAGATTCTCAGAGCCCCCTCTTTCACTTCTTGACTGGAGAACGCCACACGCGCTGACTGGAACTCCGAGGCGGACCAGCCGTGGCCACGATGGCATCCCAGATCCCCGAGCAGCCGAACACTGGCTGGGCAACGTCCAGAAAGCTGGATTCTCGAGACGCGAGACGACGACGACGCCGATGCCGACGACCGACGCGGACGTGGACGCCAGCGACGAGGACGATGAACGGCGACTACGATCGCCGACGCCGACGACCAGGACCACGACGACGACCACGGCGGCTGCGACGGCGACAACCGACGACGAATGCAGCGGAGGCGACGACGACGACGACGACCACGACAGCGACCACGAGAACGCCGACGAAGGCACTATGAACGACGACGACGACGAGTCCATCGCCGACGACGACGCCGAATAAGATTCGGGCACACGCTTGGGAACCCGCGGATCTGGCGCGTGGGCGCCAGATTCACGGATCGGGGAAAGCACCCCCAGAAACATGAGGCCAGTGGCGACGGAGCGTGCGGACTTTACATGGAACAGGGGGGCCGTCGCTAATCGCGGCGCCTGGTCTTAAAGTCCCGACCTCTCCCCCAACGCCAATTTCACCGAACAGCGAAGACTGATAGGTTTTTGGTGGGGTCAAAAGAGAACAGCTTGACTCCCCAAGAGGGTCTGGGCGGATGCCGGGAGAATCTGGCACTTCGTGGTCTTCGTCTTCCCAGAACACCGTTCCCAGGCCACATTTGGAATGCCCGGAGCCAACTGTAGGCCACTTCGTGTTCTTCGTGTTCCCAGAACACCATTCCCAGGCCACATTTTGAATGCCCAGAGCCAACTGTAGGCCACTTCGTGTTCTTCGTGTTCCCAGAACACCATTCCCAGGCCACATTTTGAATGCCCGGAGCCAACTGTAGGCCACTTCGTGTTCGTGATCTTCGTGTTCCAGAGCTGCAAGGCTCCCAGGCTTGAGGCTAGGCGAGGCAGGCTGAGGCTGAGGGCAGGCTGACTGAGGCAGGCTGAGGCTGAGGCGAGCAGGCTGAGGCTGAGGCTGAGGCTGAGGCTGATGCAGGCTGAGGCTGAGAGGACGCTGAGGCTGAGGCAGGCTGAGGCTGAGGCTGAGGCCGAGGCAGGCTGAGGCTGAGGCTGAGGGCCGAGGCAGGCTGAGGCTGAGGCTGAAGCTGAGGCAGGCTGAGGCTGAGGCTGAGGCTGTGGCTGAGGCTGAGGCAGGCTGCGGCTGAGGCAGGCTGAGGCTGAGGCTGATGCAGGCTGAGGTTGAGGCAGGCTGAGGCTGAGGCTGAGGCAGGCTGAGGCTGAGGCTGAGGCTGAGGCAGGCTGAGGCTGAGGTCGAGGCAAGCCGAGGCAGGCTGAGGCTGAGGCTGAGGCTGAGGCTCAGGCAGGCAGAGGCTGAGACAGGCTGAGGCTGAGGCTGAGGCAGGCTGAGGCTGAGGCAGGCTGAGGCTGAGGCCGAGGCCGAGGCAGGCTGAGGCCGAGACAGGCTGAGGCTGAGACTGAGGCTGAGGCTGAGGATGAGGCTCAGGCAGGCCGAAGCTGAGACAAGGTGAGGCTGAATGGGTGGGGGGGGAAGGGGGGTGGGAGGAGGGGAGGCTGAGGAAGGCTGAGGCCGAGGCAGGCTGAGGCCGAGGCAGGCTGAGGCTGAGGCTGAGGGAAGCCGAGGCAGGCTGAGGCTGAGGATGAGGCTGACGCAGGCTGAGGCCGAGGCAGGCTGAGGCTGAGGCTGACGCAGGCTGAGGCCGAGGCAGGCTGAGGCTGAGGCTGAGGCAGGCTGAGGCTGAGGCCGAGGCAGGCTGAGGCTGAGGCTAAGGCAAGCCGAGGCAGGCTGAGGCTGAGACTGGAACTGAGGCAGGCTGAGGCATCCGTAGGAACCCATAGGAATCCCAAGGAATCCTTGGGAATCCGTAGGCATCCTTAGGAATCCGTAGGCATAGTTAAGCATCCTCAGGGATCCTTAGGAATCCGTAGGATTCCCTAGGAACCTAAGGAATCCCTAGGAATCAGGATTCCAAAGGATTCCTAAGGTTTCCTAAGGATTCCTATGGATTCCTAAGGATGCCTAAGGATGCCATAGGAATCCCTGGGAATCCTTAGGATTCCATTGGATCCTAAGGCCGTTGCCACTGTGACTGTCATTGCGACTGCGACTGCGACTGCGAGAACAGCAGACTTCTACAACTGGATTCTCACCTGAATCTTAAGAGGAATGCTTCCAAATATGCTTATACACATCGCTGTCAGGTTGCTTTGCCGGGATAATTATAATCCCGAACCTTCTTTTTGATGGCACACCGGGGCCCGGTAAGGGCTCCGCCCGGACGCTCAAAACAGCCCCAAAACTCCCATTGTAATTTCTTACGACGCGAGAACCAAATGATGCTGAAACCGTTCCTCCCCGGATCTCTCCTGGGGTGCGTTCTGACCGGATTTCGGAGCAGCCGTGGCGACGGGGGCGTCTCCGGAAGACCAAAAAGGCGAAAACGCGAGAAGGGTAGCTAGAGCAAAAAATAGCATGTACATAACTTGTCGTTGGCCCGCTGGGATTTTTGGGGGTCGTCGCTGGTCGCTCCACCATGGCGCGCAGAGCGCGCCAAGGTCGGTGCCGGAGGTGCCGCCGAGGGGGCGGGCCCAGCGCCGATCCAAGAGATCCGCGCGGACGTTCGAGAAATTCTGATTCTGCAGATTCTCCTGTTGTTCGTGGAGCGGTATCGATACCTTTTCCTCTTCCCTGTCTGGGAACGGGCGGCGGACGACCTGGTCCTGTAGCTCATCCCGCTCGGCGATGCGTCGGCGACGTCGGTGCTGCATCGGCGAGGTCGGCATGGATAAACCTTGGCTTCGCATCAAGCCACATCGCCGATACATCGGCGATGTGGCGCAATCCTTTGACCCCATCTACTTTCACCCAATCTGGGAGTTCTAGAGTCATCGTGCTACCAGAAGGAACACTGGACGAGGAACCAAGAAGCTTTTCTGGCCATGATAGGTTCCCCCGACCTGGACCGAAGGAACGGCCCGAAACCAAGATCCCCTCCCTCCCGAGCCCACCGTGGTCCTTATTTCAGCGTCTTGAATCTTGACTAACGCTGACCCCAACGACGCACGGCGGTGGGCCTGGTCCAGCAGCGCCTCCCGCTCGGCCAGCCGCGCGACGTCGGCGATGCATCGGCGACGCCGGGGAGCACAGCATCGGGCTTCACACCCAGCCGCATCGCCGATGCATCGACGATGCGGCGCGATCTTTCGGCCCCATCTGGGGAGGCCCAGACACACGCTACCCTCAACGATCCTATGGCCACTTCCCCGGGTATGCTCCCCCCACGCGCTCCCTCTCAGGGCATGCGGCCCCCCAGGGTGCGGCCGGCGTGGGGGGCCGCTGTGTGGGGGCTCGAGAGGGCCGTCGGGTAGGGCGGGGGTCGTGGGGGTCTTCGTGAGGGGCGTCGGGTGACCCTGAGATCCGATGCAGCGAAGAAATAGCACGCCCGGAACCCTAGACCCCATCTTTCTGCGTCCTTTTTTTTCGAGGCGGATCGATCTGTGAGGGTCCTGGGTCCTGGGGCCAGGGAAAAGGAAAAAACGCCCAGCTCGAAAAAATGGGTTCGCCAGGATCTCAGGGGAGGGGTCCGTCGGGCGGGGGCCTTCGTGGGCAGGGGGTCGTGGGGGTGAAGGAAGAAAAAACGACATTCACATAATTAAATGGTTGAAGTCCGCGAGCGGATTTCCCAGATCCGCGCTGGGCCCCTCCCATAGCGCGCGGAGCGCGACGAGGGGCGGCGCCGGAGGCGCCGCTGGGAGGGGGGGCCCAGCGCAGATCCAAGCAATCCACGCGGATTGGGCGCCCGAGTTATCCGGGGTGACTCGGGCCCGGGGCAACTCGGGGCCGGATCCCCGAAAAAACGAAACCGACTTGGCCCTGACCCGAGGTCATACCCCTGATGATTCGGGCCTCTGAGCGGAGCGCCAAAAGTCTCCGTGGGGTCGCGGGGCGGAGGGGGGCTCCGACGGCGCACGGCGCCTGGTCCAGCAGCTCCTCCCACTCGGCCAGCCGCCCGCTCCCGGCGCGCAGCCCCTCCGCGGTGCCCAGCCGCCGCGCCGAGAGCGGCTCAGCCTCGCGCGGCGCTCCGGCACGCCGCCGGCACGCCGATGCGGCGCTTCGGCGTGCCCGCCGCCGGCGAGGCCGACGACCGACGACGGCAGGCCGCCCCGGAGCTCCCGGCGACCCCATGTTCTTGAGCCGGGCGCTTTCGCTTCGTCGCGGGCCCCAGGGCCCTCACAGGTCGACGCGCCTCGGAAAAGGACGCAGAAAGGCCGGGTCTGCGCAGGGTGCCGGGCGAGATGATCTACGATGCTGCCACTTTTTCGCGACGTCGGATCTCGAGGACCACCGCCACCGCCACCACGCCGACGGACGGCGATGACGGCGACGGCAGCCACCGCCACCGCCACCGCCACTGCGCGCAGCGACGGCGACGACGGCAACCACCGCCGCCGCGCCGACGGAGGCACCAACGACGACGGCGGCGGCGGCGACGCCGACGGCGAAGCCGACCGGCCGCCAGCCGCCGTGCCCGGATGCAGTCCCGGTGGATTTGTTCTCGGTCCCTCGGCCTCCTGGGCCCGCTCTCGGGCAACGGGGGCCACTGGGAATGACATCCGGGGCGAGGGGGGAGCGTGGGCCTTCGGGGGGCGCGGGCTGGGGTGTCCTCAGGTCCCTTTGTTGGATCCCCGGGAGAGGAGGAGGAGGAGGTGGAGGAGGAGGAGGAGGAGGAGGACGAGGAGGAGGAGGAGGAGGAGGGAGGAGGAGGAGGAGGAGGAGGAGGAGGAGGAGGAGGAGGAGGAGGAGGAGGGGGGAGGAGGGAGGATGGGGGCCTCAGCCGTCGATCCTGGGGACCCGGGCAGAGTGGCCCAACCTTGCCAAATCTCTCGCGAGGCGCGTCGCGTGGCCCCGTGGGGCCCAGACGCGTCTTGTCGAGTGGCTTGTTCGAGCCCACGACGGCCCCAAGACGGGCCGAGAGGGCCCCGAGAGGCCCCCTAAGACGAAGACGGCCCAAGAGGACCCCGAGTCGCCAAAAGATCGCTCCAAGACGCCCAAAATGGCCTCAAGACAGCCCAAGATTCCCCTCGTCGCCCGAAGAGGCCTCTCAGGAAGAACCCAAAAGGGTAAAACAAAAAATGATGATACTCAGATTTTGAAGAATTTGTACGTTCTCGCCGTTTCGCGGACGATCGCCCCTACACAGCCCACGAGGCTTCCAAGAGGGCCACGAAACTGCCCAAGAGTGCCCCCCAAACAGGCTGGCTCCAAGAGGGGGTCACCACGGGGGGCCCGAATGGACATCTCGAGCCCTCTGCCCAGGAGAGGCCCCCCGAAGAGTCTCCCGTGAGGACCCCAAGGTTACCCCGAAGAACTCCGAGGGGATCCCAAGCAGAGTGCCCTACAACGAAGCTTGTTGCATTCGTTGTAGGGTGGAGGGTCGTCCTTGGGATGTGGGGGGTGGGAAGCCGCCATGAAAGGAATCCTTTCTGTATTCCTCAACAAAAAGAATCCGTCGGTAGTTCTCGACAAAATGAATCGTTCTGTAATCCACCACAAAAAGAACCCCTTTGCATTCCGCCACAAAGGAAATTCTTTTGTACTCCACCACAAAAAATCCCTTTGTATTCTGCCACAAAGGGAACCCGTTTTGTATTCCACAACAAAAGAATCCCTTTGTATAGCGCAACGAAGTGAATTCTATTGAAATTACTAAAATAATTGGAAAGCCTGTGATTTCACAGAGTGTTCAGCAACTTTAAATTGAAATATTGTTCTTTCATTGCCAGGCACAGAGCGATTCAGCAATGTTTAATTAAGAATATTGTTTTTTCATTGCCAGGCACAGCGATCTGAGCATGTTTAATGGTTTCCCAATAATGGGTAGCGTTTTCATTTTAAAACGCTATGAAAACACAAGCCCTTCTATGATTTCCTGATTAAAATCAAAGAAAACCTTGCGTTTTTTTCCAACGGATGCAACAATGTTTAATTAACGTAGTGTTTCTTTAAGTACCGCGCACAGCGATTCAGCAATAATGCCAGGCACCGCGATCTTAGCATGTCTTAATTAATTTCAAACTAGGGGTAATGTGTTATTAAAAACGCTGTGCAAACACACGTTTCTATTTAATTGTCAATCAGGAAACCAAAGAACACCTTTTGTTTTCACAATTTTTTTTTGTTTTTTTTTTTTAAAAAAAAAAAGACCGATACACATAAGTGGAAAGTCGTTAAAAATGCTCAGATCGCGGTGCCTGGCAATGAACAGACAATGTGTTTAATTAAACTTGCTGAGTCGCTGTGCGTGGCAATGAACAAGCAATACTTTAACTAAACATCGTTAAAACCAAAACTATAAAAGCACATGTTTTCCAATTTTTTGTAATTTCAATAGAATTCCTTTTGTGGCGGAATACACAGGGATCCCCTTTGTGGCGGAATGCAAAAAGGATATCCCTGTGTGGCGGAATTCCAGAGGGATTACATTTGTGGCGGAATACAAAAGGATTCTCTTTGTGGCGGAATACAATAGGATTCCGTTTGTGGCGGAATACAAAGGGATTCCTTTTGTGGCGGAAAACAAAAAGATTCCCTTTGATTCCCCTTGTGGCGGAGTGCAAAAAGATTTCCTTTGTGTCGGAATGCAAAAGGATCCCCTTTGTGGCGGAATACAAAAGGGAATTCTTTCGTGGCAGAAGACACATCGATTCCCTTTTTGCGGCGGTATACACAAGGATTCCCTTTGTGGCGGAATACAACAGAATTTCCTATTGTGGCGTCAGGCAACAGAATTCTTTCTGTGGTGAAGTACAAAGAGAATCCTTTTCTGATAGTTTACAAAGGGCGGAGGAAGCGAGAGGAGGGAGGGGGGAGAAGGGGAGGAGAGGAGCGAAAACGAGGGAGAGGCGGAGGAGGCGAGAGACGGGAGGAGGGAAAAGGGGAAGAGACGAGGGAGGTGAGAGGAGAGAGGCGGAGGAGGCGAAGAGAGGGAGGAGGGAAGAGAAAGGCGGAGGAGAGGAGAGGAGGAAGCAAGGAAGAGGCGGGATGAGGGCGGCCCGAAAGGCGCGCCGCTAGCCCGCCGCCTCCTTCTCCTCTTTTCCCCCCGTCCGCTACCCCAGCTGGTGGCGTATGTGGCTGGCGTCCCGCGAAGCGCCCCCCAGCGGGAGAGGGGAAGAAAGGAGGGAGGAGGGAGGAGAGAGGCGAAGGATGCATCGGTCGAGCGCCCTACAGCGACGACGGGTGTCGGTTTGTGCTGTAATCGTGATTGTTGCTTAAATGTTGTAACTGATTAAGTTGATATGGGGGTTGGCGTGGAATTCTCTGAGAAGCTCGACCTCGCAGCTCTGTTCATGACCGCCGGCGCGACAAGATAATCGCCTGTGCGAAAAGACAAATGCAGATGCAGTAGACGGGAGGTCTGAACCGAAGGGTTACCGCAGCATGGAGGAAGCACCCTTCCAAATATTATTTACCATCATCATCATCGTCTTCATGTGCATTCTTATCATCATCATTCGCCTCCTCCCCGCTTTCGCTATTTGCTACAAGAGGCTCAAACCTACACACCAGCAGGACTACGCCGACTGCTGGTTGGCTACAAGGTTAGCTTATGGCTAACAAATATATGTATACATGTGGTGGCATGAAACACTCGGCGTTGCATTGGATACCCCGTGGAAAACAAATGAAATGCTTGCAGACACACACAAGCTAGTTACAAACCAGAAGTTGCAATTTGTTACGGGCAATCCGATCATTAAGTTGGATGGCCCCGCGTTAACCAAGATTGCGGATTAGCCCATGTACGCATGGCCACATGGAAATGCGAATCAGAAAACCAAAATGGACGATGTATTGCATTCTTGATTGGGACGGCCATTTCGAAGACAATGGTAAAGCCGATGTGCAAAAAATGTCAAACGATTTCCACGGGAAATAATGAGTGGAGTGACGAACGGAATGGCAGTTATAATGACCATGTGAAAAGGACCGGTAGCAAAAGACATTCAAGCGGGCAACTACAAAAAAACTTGCCGTATCCATTCGGCCCGTCGAACTCGTGGCAAGTGGCGTACACCATGAAATTGGCGATTGCGCCAGCCGGTGATGAGTGGCATGTAATCAAACACATTATCTTCGACTTGCAGGCAGAGTTAGCACGCGGCTCGGTGTATTGCAATTCCTGGTGGCTCCACAACCCCACTTGCACGAAACACACACATATATATATACATATATATATATATACATTCCAGAAATAATTGAGAACCTGGGCGGCGTTCAAGTTCGCTACGGCAGGTGGCTGGGAGATGATGACGGAGAGAAAGCATTTGATTTCAACAAAATCTCCGCTGGTTACGAGCTTATGTGCAAAAATGAGACCGTCCTCGAAGAATGAAGGGCAATTCGCGGGATGGGTGGACGTGTGGACCAAAAAGCCAGGAAGCCCAATCTCGGATTGACCAGAAGCAAAGTGCATATCGTTCTTCGACGGTTGTGCAAGAGGCGCGTCTATTGCAAAACAAATTGATTTCAATTTCACAACCTACAACGATTTGAATGCTAAATAGTAAGATTGCGACGCATAAAGAACATTGAATTCCATGGGTCGGAAATTCGGAACGCGGTAAAAGTCTGTGTTCGCGGACACACGCCTTCATGGTGTCCAATCATTGGATAGAGGAAGCAAAGAGAGACGATGTGCAACCTGCCATAGCGACCGCCAAATTCGTTGATATGTTCAGAGGCGAACGAAACACTGTTTTCAAACCGTGTATCTTTGATGACGGGAAATTCGATCAGCTTGGCGCCGATATGGTGAAAGTTTGCTCTTCTATGGGCCAGATGGGGCGGTTCGGGGTTCGGCATGTATTCGCGCCGCCAAGCAGTGAGTCAGCAGTGCGACAACACATTGGCCAAGAAGTTTACGCGCAAAGATAACATCACCGACAAGGATTTGCAAAAGCTCACTATGCCGTCAATAGATAAAGAGGCTGACGAAAAGGACTGTGTTGCATTCAGGCGTCGTTTCCACACCATCGTCGTCACTCGCGAGGGGATCATCCACCGCAGTGCTACCCAAGAGATAGTGGACGTCCCCATCGGATAGTGAAGAGATGTATATGTTCAAACCAGAAGTGAAAATCATTATGCAGAAGTGGGGAAAATGGACCGTTTGAGGAGGTCCCGCCGAACTACCATGACGATGTGAAGTGGTCGTTGGAATACTTGAGCAGGGCTATGAGGGGCGAGCCGATTCCCCCGTCCAGAACGATCAAGCCTCCATCTGCCCGGGGGGCCAGAGGTTATTCAATGATCCGTCTATGGTTGCTCACGCATACGACCACCCTTACTTAACGTCCGCGGGATTTGACCGTCTGGAGCGCATTGGGGATGCAGCCTCGGTTTCGTTTTGTGGCACCCTCCAGGACATGCAAGAAATGCAATGCATTTGATCCATGAAGACAGAGCCTCACCACGGGCGCGAGTATGATCTGACTGCTGTTACGCCTAAGAGGAAGCGCCACAGGGCAGAGGGGCCAGAGATTCCTGGCGCCCCCAGGAAAGAAAGAACAAGGCTGCAGACAGAGCTAGCCGACGAAGAGGAGAACATGGAGAGAGCTTGGCAGGAAACTGACAGGGAAAGAGTAGCCCGCGCTGTCCATGAGTCGCGCGTCAACGCTGGAATGCCTGCGTGCTCTCGCCCAACGAAACGCGACTCGACGGATTTCGAGGAGGAGGATGTGTTTGGTCACCAGGGCCGGGCATGTAAGAAATGCAAATTGCATTGCTAGGGCTTCGAGCAAAATTGAGAACTCCAGGACATTATTGTGTCTAAAGTCAGATTCTTGCTGACGGCGCTTGCGACTTACAAACTCACTTCCTGCAGGGGCACCCGCGACAGGGGAACGCCATTAGTTCGAACGATCATCGCAAAATCTACGGCGGTCGCTGACTGCGTCGCACAACCCAGAACGCACCGCCAAAGCTCTATGCCCTCAACTCCGTGGATTTAATCCACGGGTCCACGCAAGTGTGTGTGTGTGTCTGTGCGTGCGTGCGTGCGTGCGTGCGTGTGTGTGTGTATGTGTTTGTCTTTTGTTTGTAGGTTTGTGTATGTGTGTATGTGCGTGCGTGCGTGCGTGCGTGCGTGCGTGTGTGTGTATATGTGTGTTATGTTTTGTGTGTAAGTGTGTGTATGTGTGTGTGCGTGCGTGCGTGCGTGCGTGTGTGCGTGCGTGCGTGTGTGTGTATATGTGTGTGCGTTTTGAGTGTAGGTGTGTGTATGTGTGTGTGCGTGTGTGCGTGCGTGCGTGCGTGCGTGCGTGTGTGCGGAAAGTGTGTGTGTTTTGTGTGTAGGTGTGTGTGTGTGTCTGTATGTGTGTATGTGCGTGCGTGCGTGCGTGCGTGCGTGCGTGTGTGTGTGTGTGTGTGTCGCCACCGTGCCTCTGGCACGAAAGGGAGTGCCAAACGCTCATGAAGCCCTGAGAGGTACAACATGTGTAAGGTTCTCACGGGCCACTTTCAAGCCCCCCCGGTGTCACGGGCGCTCCCGGAAATTCCAGGGGGCTCACGGTAACTCCTCGGGTATGTCGCGTGCGTCTTCTGGGAGCCAGGAGGGCCCCCAAAACAGGCCAAGAAAGCCCAGGGAGGCCGCCCAGATGGTCCAAGAGGGCCCCAAGTCGCCCAATGAACGCTCCCAGGCTTGCAAGATGGCCTCAAGGCGGCCGAAGAGGGCCCCAAGGAGGCCCCATGGGGACCCCAAGAGCACCCCCAAGCGGGCTCCAAGAGGCACGAATCACTGATGCTCCTTAGGTCGGTGAATGATTTTGGCGTGCGTTCTCGACTCTTCGACTTCCCGACGCTCCCAGACGGCCCGAGAGGCCCACAGTATCGCCCCAAAACAGCCGACGAAGCCCCCAAGAGGGCCCCCCACGGCCCAAGAGGGCCCCGAGACTGCCCAAGAGGCCTCCAAGACAACCCAAGCGGCTCCTAAGACGGCTGCAAGATGGGGCCCAGACGGGGGACCCGAACGGACAGTTCGAGCTCTCGGTCCCGAGAGGCCACCAGGAGGCCTCAAGAGGCCACCAAGAATCGGGGGCGTGCAAACATGGATTTGGCACGCGGTCGCCAAATCCATGGATCGGGGGAGGTGCCCTCCCAATTCTATATGACGGATGGCGGATCCATGGATGGCGGGCGGTGCCGCCTCGTTCGGCGGCGGAAATCCTAGATTTCCCATGGAAACGAGACCCGGCGCTAATCCACGCCCCCTTGATCCAAGTTTGCGATCGCCTGAAAGAAGGCCTCAAAAGGCCCCAAGAGGCACCCAGGAAGCCCCAGGAGGCCCCCGAGAAACCTCCAAGAAGCCATCCACAGGCCCCCAAGAGGCCCCAACACTGCCCCCAAGGGGCCCTCGAGAACGCTCCGACGAGAACCCGCGAAGCATCCCTGTGAGGACTCTGACCCACAACCCATGCTCGGTGGCGGGATGGGTCGAAGGCCATGCGATGTATGTATGTATGTATGTATGTTTTTGCGTGTAATTATATATATATGTATGCATGTATGTATATCTGTATATATGTATATATATATACACATACCTGTGCACACCAGAAAACAGCCGACACAAGAAAACATGTAGGGTATCCGATGATGCCGCCGAAAGACGTCCCGCCGACCCCAGAGGCGTGTTAGAACGTTCCGTTGATCCAAGAGGCCTGGCATCCCCCGCGCCTGGAAGCACCCCCTCCCTTCTGGCCCTCTGTTCGTGGTGCCCCCCCCACCCAACGATTCCACCCCCAAAACCGGCCCTGACCACCCACCAGGACTCCGCCGGGCCCGACCCCCCCACCCGTGTTCTTGGTGCCTCCCACCTCGCAATGCCTCGAACAGAAGAATCAGCCCTGATCCCCCAGCAAGTCTCCGCCTGGCCTCACACCCCCACCGCCTGGGACCTGTGCCCTTGGGACCCCACATCATCCGTTCTCGACGACAACGGCAGTGGCGGCGACGGCGACGACGCACGACGACTCCGACGACGACGGCATAGACAGCTACGGCATCGACGGACAACGACGACGGACCACGACGACGGACGACGACTACGGACGACGAGGGAAGACGGCGACGAGCGGCGTGCCACAAGCGGCGACCGACGGCCTCGAAGAGCGGCGAGCGGCGGCATCGACGAAGAACATGACGACGGATGCGGCAGCGATGGCGAGGACGGCCTCGACCTCGGCGGTTGCGCCGTGCCGTCTCAGCTCCTCGCCGCGCCGCCGCCGCCAAAGCCGCCGCCGACGCCGCCCATAGCCGCCCGTCGACGTCCCCGCCGCCCCTCGGCGTCGTCGTCGCCGTCGCCGACACCGGCGTCAGCGTTGATGGCGACGGCGTCGGCGGCGCCGTCGGCGCTGTCGTCGGCGACGCCGTCGGTACCGTCCTCGCCGTCGTCAGTCGTCGTCGGCGGCGCTGTCTTCCTCTTCTTCACCGTTCGGGAGCTCCGGAGGCCGTGCCGACAACAACACTTGCCGCTGTTACCTGTGCCGCCGCCGCCGACGACCGCCGACGACACGGGCGACGACGACGACCGCCGCCGAAAGAGACGACAACGACAGCCGACGACGAGGGAGACGATGACCGACGACGGGCACGATAACGATCGACGGCGACGACTACGACGACCGCCGACGACAAGGACGACGGCGACCGCCGCCACAGCTGGCAGCAACGACCAGCGGCGGCGTCGACTACGACAGCCGAATGTAAAAACGATGACGTGAACCAGCGCCGTCGCGGTCCCCGACGGCCGTAGGCGGATGACGACGAGCGACGAAGACGGCGACCGCCGCCTCCAGCCTCCCCGCCCGCGGAGGAGGATGAGGAGGATGAGGGCTAAACCCAAAACTCACCAACGATGTTCGAACACACCCTCTCTCCAAACACGCCCTTCTTAGGCCCGAGAACAGTTTGAAAACGGCCCGTCCTCCAACCGAACCTCTTGCAAAGTTTCAAGGCCAACATGCGCGAGCTAAGACAAGCGCCACATTTTGAAAACGACCCGCCCTCTACCTGTGAAACGGTTGCACAATTCAAACTTCAAGATAAAAAACATGGGGGAATCTTAAGCGAAACGCCCGGCCCGCCCTACCGACACGTGTCGGGGTGCGACAAGGGGGGGGATATCTACAAAGAGAAAGATTGAGAAGGGTCAAGAAATTACGGAGATACGGATACTGCAACCGTGTCGGTTACGAGGCTTCGCCATAATCCATGGGAGAATCGAGTTCGGTATTCTTTCCGACTGCGTTTCTTGGGAACACAATCCTGAGCTAGCTTCGCAGACTGTTCAGCTGCAAAGCAACCGCAGAAAGCGCAAAACCAAATCCGAAGCCCAGCGTGGAACCAAAGGGTGTGCATGCTATGGGACAGATTCACCCCTACGTGCACTCGCTGCCCTGAGGGGGGGCTCTCAGCCTTCGCCATCCACCTCAGTGAGCTTCAGACACGGAGAGTTCAGCCAGGCCGCCTTCTGGGCCAATGAGGTCGACCCAACTGCAGCCAGGCTATGTTGGCTGGTGCTTAAAATTGAAGATGTTGCAAGTCATTGGAACGGGGGGCCTAAGAACTGGTTGCCACTGACGTGACGTGGGCCCTGCATAGTCCATCGCTGCCTGGAAATACTCAAGCGTGCTAAACAACATCCTGATCCGCACAACGTAAGCAAGGTTCGATTATGACTAGACCTGCTGCGATACCTGCTAACTCGTCGCCAACGGCGTTTCTCAGAATGAGGCGTGTTGGATCTCCGATAGCGCGGACAAACAACACAGCAAGCGAAAACTGATTGAATATGCGACGGATCCCACGTAACAATCAAAACCAGACGGTCCACATTTTCTTCAGTGAGGGCGTGTCGACCAACGTACCAGCCAGAACATGCTGCAACATTGTCGGTGACGGACAGAATGTGCCCACGACCGCCGCGGACCGCTACATGGAAAACGTACTAAACAAACGGGAGGGGAAAGGGGATGAGGAGGGAGACGGAGGAGGGAGAAGAGAGAAGGATGAGGAGGAGGAGGAGGAGGAGGAGAAGGACGAGGAGGAGGAGGAGGAGGAGGGGAGGAGAGGAGGAGGGGGAACGGGGAGGAGGACGAACACCCCAAACCCCCGACGTCGTGATTTTGTCGCCACGTGGGCCCCCCCGAAATCTTGACCCCTACCACATCTTCTCATTCCAGATAATTGGTTGACGGCCCCATGTGCTGGCAACGGCCTCCGCGGGTGGAAAATCATCAAAACCTCCGCTCGTAATTTCCGTCGCGACGCGAAAGGGTCCGGCTCCGATGCTCAAGACCAGCCTCAACACTCTCCCTGGGGTGCGTTTCGCCAAAACGCCGAGCCAGATTCAGCCGGGGCGACGAAAAAGACATCCCGTTGGGCGACAGACGCCCAAAGACCTCGATATTCGAACATCGATTTTTTCTCGGGGTCCGGGGAAGCGCCACTTTCTGCGTGTGCGCAGCGGAGAGCCGAGATGAACCGGGCGTCTCGGCCAGCGGCGGGCAGCGGCGGCAACGGGGGGCCGGCGTGCGGAGACGCGGCGGCGTCCTGCTCCAGCTGCTGGCCCCAGGCCGATGCGGCCTCGCGGGCGGGGGAACAGGGGGAGGGGAAGTGGTGAGGGGCGCGGGCGCCTCCCGGCATGGAAGGCGGGGGGGGACGAGGAAGAGGAGGAGGAGGAGGCAGTATAATTGCGGGTGGCATTGGTGAAACGTAAAAGAAATGGCTGGCGGCAATTGCAAAGGCCTGGCGGCCGTCCTATTCCCCTGTTCCCTTTCAGTGTACTATGCCGCGTGCACGCTGCAAGCCGGAACGGCAGCGGGCGCGAACGTGTTCCTATTCGAGTCGGGACTACAGGGCAGAAGAGTGTGTCCCTCCGCAAGACATGGGCTACAACATACAACCCGCAATTCGGTGCCAGAGCGTTCGCGGCAAACCTTAGCAGCGGACACTCGGCACAACTCACCCATGGCTCAAGAGCCTCGGCCCGAATGGATCGCCGCAAACCCTCTGGAGCCCTGTCGGCTCGTTTCTGGTCAGCCCGTACGCGAGATGAGCTGCGCTGACCATGACCATGGTCGCGGGTCGTAGCGACACCCCAGCGGGTGTAGCTGGCCCCTGCGTCGCTTGCGCGGCTGCGTAGCTGTGAAGCACTCGCGCGCATTTTTTCGTGCGCGCGCCGATGCAGCTCGTCCAGCTGTTAGCAGTAATGTGCCTCTAATTGCTAGCGTTTGCCAATCGTCGGAAGTCCTCTGCGCGAGCCTGTTCTGCTCGAAAGCTATGTTGGGCCTCTAGCGATGAGCCGACCGCTGCAGCTGTCCGTCCGGGCTGCTAAACATGCTCAACATGGGGCCTTCTTCCTGCACGGGACGATGGGGATGCACTCTACAGCCTTGACCGCCTTGGCTTGCACGACGCGAATGCCGGTCTCACGATGCCTGATGTGTACTCCGCAATCGTCAAATTCCCCGTCGCGTCTGTCCAGATGTAAGAACCATCCATCTCTTCCAGTATCTTGTCGACCGCGGAGCTCGCGACCCCCCTCGCTACCAGCAAGTCGTCAGCGCGGCTGCGAATTGCCATCTGGAGCTCCACGTCGAACTAATACCTGTAGACTCCGCGCTCCAGCATCGTAAACCTGCTTCTTCTCGAGGTAGACCTTCAGAGGCGTATGCCAGGCGCGACCCGCGTCCTTGGTGCCGTAGATCGAACCCTGCGCGTAGAACAATGCCTGGGTCCGCGGGGTGTCTCTTGGGCATCCTGATGAGTGGCAGCCCGTCGATCCCCTCTGCCTGACGGTCGGCCGACTTCGCGTCGCAAGAGCATCCGGCCCAGCCAGGAACCCGAGGGTGACCATGAGAGCGCCCACGGACCCAGTAGGTGCGTCGCTCCTGATGTAGGAGGATCGCTCCTGGCAGCCCTGCACTACCAGCCGAAGATTATACTTGGACCTCTTGGTCTGCTTCGGCGCGACCACTCAGCGCGTGCCCACGACCTTGGCGCCATTGGCAAGATGCTGCTTGAGCTCGTGGTCTGGACATATCAGTGGACGCCGCTCGTCTCTCACTCGTCTTCCATGGATGCCATGAGCTCTCTAATCTCTTCGTCCAAATCGACCTCCTTGGACCTCGCAGCATTGGTCAGGAAACACCCTCGAACGCCCTCGACGTGAAAGGCTTAAGTATGCCGTGTCAGCTTGTCCTCAGGCTGTCCTGGCTGTCCGTTCGAAGGCCTATCCTCGTGTTGTACGATAAGTTTCCTTCGACGTCGCTCCAAAGTCCTCGTAATGAAGATTGGGACGTCGTCCAGATGGTCGCATGCCTCGGAACGGCCCAAGCTGGTTTGAACGGTGCAACGTATGATGAGGGCCCCGAACTCGACGCAGTTCCCCACGAACTCGACGCCGCCGCTTCTCCTTGATCCTTCACTTCGTCATGGCACGGCCAATCCCCCTCAACGTCATAGAATTCGCAGGTGCCCCCGACGTCCTCAGTTGACTTCACAAGGTCGTGATATTCAACCTCATGGCACGGAACCTCTTCTTCCTCGCTGCAATCTCCCTGGGAAGCGGGGTCCTCCATGCCCTGCACCTGCGGCGTCTCCACGTTCTCGTGATGATAAGAGGAGGATCAGGAGCAGTAGGGGGATGTGGGGCATCTTGGGTTTCCTGAGACTGTAGCGGCGGCATTCTTTCCTCTAGATGCACTTGCGGCCCAGAAGGCTGCCGTGGCGATGTGGGCACTTGTTCGGGGGGCTCTCGGGAGTGTTCGGGCCCTTCCAGCATGGGCTGCGGAAGTGGCGCAAGATCCCTCTCTGCCAGCTTCTCTCCCGAATTGATCCTCTAGCGGCGTCTGCTGCTGGCAGGCGGAACGTAGGGACCTCCTCGACATCTGGAGGTTCTCCAGCAGCGGGATGCTGCTCAACGTCCACGGTCGCCCGGACGTGCCCATCAATAGTCATGTCCAAGCATGTCTGGTCACGGCAGGGGTCGGCCAGAGGTGGGTCTGCGACCGGCGGCGTCTCGTCGGCGACCTCCATCGGAGCCTGACCGCCCGATCCAGACGATGACTAACAGGCTGGCCTTGTGGCGGCAAATCCACTGGGGCCCTTCGCGCGCTCCTAAACGCCCTTCCAGTCGACAAACTCCGACGCCTCCACCGATCTGACATGCCGCGCCGGCACCTTGATGACGAGGTTGCGATGCGCCAGCCACAGGTTGTTGGAGTCGTGCCTGATGACCACAGCAGGTCCGTGCCAGCGTGCTGCCCAGTGCTTCTTGGCACGAGCCTTGCCCAGTTCTCTCCAGTAGTAGACCTGGTCGCCAATCTGGTAAGTAGAAGCTGCTGGTGTCGTAGCGCCAGCTCTGCTCTTCGCGAGGAATGCCTCGCTGATATTGCGGTTGGCCTTCAGCGCCGCCACCGAGCGCTTCGCCGCGCTGAGCAGTCCGACGCGCTGCCTGAAGCTCGGCCCGTCGTCGCCTAGCATCCGCCGGTGTAGCCTGCGGTTGCTGTGCTGGCTGAGGAGCTGGCAGAGAAGCTTGATGCCTCGAACCAACACCCACTTGGACGGTGAATATCCCGACCGGCCCACCGCAGAGTTCACGGCATACTTAATCGCCGCAGTGAGCCACTTGACCTGGTCTGCCTTCTTGAAGGCGACGAAGAACTCCGACACTCAGGCACGGGCGCGCGCATGCCAGGTCTGGCCGTGCCTCTCGCAGATCGCGTTCTGCGTCGGACTGTAGGATGCGCTCGGGGCTATCCTCGAGTCTATAGTCTCCAGCTCCTCCTTGCCCTCGCGCTCGAACTCGCCCGCCATGTCTGCCATCGCGACAATCGGGGCACCGAGCGCGAGTAGCCGGGGGTCAAGTTTTGCTTGCCAGATCACGGTAGGCTTACGAGAGGTGACCAGAACAACGATCTGGCACTTAGAGGCCATGTCGGTCTGGTTGAGGAACACTACGCCGATGCCCTGGGCGTCCGCAAGCTCGAAGGTGTCGATGGCCAGGCAGTCGCCGAACTTTCTCCAGCGATCTCGCAATGATGATGCCGTAGACGGCGGCGCCGTCGGCTCGATGCATTCGGGCAATGGTGTACGAGTGCCGCTGATACCGCAGACTTCGAGCCTACTGCGAATCGAATGGCGCGCGCGAGAGCCCGATTGCCTGGATGTCACAGGTTGGTGTGCGTCGTGGCCACAGGCCTCGTGAGGGTGAGACGCTGCTCGGGCTTCACTCGCCAGTGCACCCGCGGGCTCCTTCTCCATGTCCTCGTTCTCGTCGTCGTTGAGCAGCGCAACCAGCGCGTAGCTGACGTCCGCGATGCCCCCCATGCCGCCCCTGATCGCAGCCTGGCACAGCTCCTTGGTGTAGAGCTCCGTCCTCTTGGAAGTCTTCCGATTGAGTTATCGCCCTTGTAGATGCTCGTGGTCCTGAGAGCACCTCCGGGCCAAGAACTTCTGCAGCGGCCGATGGTTAGCGATCACCTTCCAAGGCTTCTTGATGCGCTCACCAGTCCTGTCGTTCACAAGGCCATGGGCGCTTCCATCGAACAGGTACTCGTCGGGCAAGATCTTCTTGAACTCCTGGGCTTCGGGCTGCTTCCACCCGTGACAGTTGACGGGCCAGTCGAAAACGACGATCGCGCCGACCTCCAGCGCGCGCTTGGCCCCCCTGGCAAACAGCCGTATCATGTGCCTGCTCTGCGCGCGGTCGACTGTCAACTGGGCGCCATCCCCCATGATATTCTACAGCGCCACCCAGGGGCTGCAGGTAGGGCGACGCAATCTATACATATCCACCGCTCCCTGGCCAGGCCCATCCTGAACACAGCAGCTGTGCATGCGCCACGCCCCCCTGGTTTGGCCAGGAGGGCGTATACACAGCTCCTGGGTTCAGGATGGGCCTGGCCAGGGAGCAGTGGATATGTATAGATTTCGTCCCCCGAGCAGGGCAGGCTGCCCCAGAGGAGGTCAGCGCGACCTGCTTCAGACTGGGCTGCCTGCTCAAGTGAGCCGCCAGCCTTAGCTGCGCGCCGTCGGACTCGAAGATCGCCCTCGGGAGGTCGAAGCCATGTGTACCTCATCCTTGAGCCTGCCAGAGTTCCGACGCGAGGCTGTTCGGCTCGCAACAGCACTCGACCAAGGTACCTGGAGCCCCCCTCCTTGTCCTCCGTGCCCCCCTGGATGCCGCAGAGACCAGTGTGTCGCTCAGCTGCGTCTGAAGCGTCTTCTTCGCGTATGCGGGTCGAACCCCACGTTGACGCAGTGCGCTTGCTTGTCGCAAGCCTGCCCTGGCGCTGGACCGCGACTCCGCGCCGTTGCCCACTTGCCGTTCGCATTGCCCTGAGACCTGGGCTCGTCGCCCATCGCCTTGCTGACCTTGACCTCGGAGCAGCGCGCGATCGCTGTGATCGCGAGCTTTTGAGGCGCCAGCGCGCCCACGCCTTCGCGCGGAGGCGGCAGCGGCCTAGCCCGGGCAGCAGCTGGCGCTCCGCGGAGCGCGACGCAGCGGACAAGACGACAGAGTGAACAGCGAGCCCTTGGACGGGCATCCGTGGAAAATATCTGCGGCGCGCAACCGCGGGCGCGGGGGCGCCGCCTCGCGCGCGCGCACCGTCCAAGAAGAGCTGCACGCGCCAGCCCCGTCGCAGAGCGCCCAGGCTCGTCGCGCGGTCCCACTCTGCGCGCCAGCCCGCTGATAGAGATGCAGCGGAGGGGCCGCGCACTCAGCGCCGCGCGCAGGAGCGTGGCCAGGGGGCGCCCTGTAGAGCGACGCGCTGCACGTTGATAGGGGGGGGGGGGGGGGGGGGGGGGCGAATGGAATGAGATGCGCACGTAGAGCAAGGTGGATATGACATGCTAGATCACGGGCGAGGTCGTTGGAGTAGCAAGCCAGCGCGCGGGCGCCACCAGTCCGAGCAGGGGACAGAAGTGACGAGCAACTCCACGCGGTACTCAGCGAAATTGAATGCGTGCGATCCGAAAAATCTGGGAACACCATAAACGCATCCCAGTTGCGAATCAAGGCGCGAGCGCCCGCGAGGCGAGCGCGTTGCGCCGGGCTCTGAGTGGACCTGGAGCCCTTGCATTGTCAGGCGCTGGCCCAACTACAGGCGCTGGCCACGCGCGGACCAATGGAGATGCGGCGCGGACAACAAGGCGCGCCATTGGTGGGGGGGCGCCGAGCCGCTGAGCTCGTCGGCGAGGCCTCAACGGAGACAATCCCCCGACCGAGCGTCGGCACACGACGACGCGCTGGGCAAGACAAGCGCTGCAAGTGGATCGCGCCGCGGGGTGGGCGCGCAGCTGCAAGGCGGCGCGCAGCGAGGTGCCACTGCCCGCGCCGGCTAGAACGCGCTTCCAATCTTCCTGTTCGCTGAGGCAAAAAAGTGGCTGAGTAGGTGGATTGTAATAGAGATGCAGACAAGGCCTTGCAATCTGGCAAACGCGCGCGCCGGCTGGAATCGCGCGCCAGCTGGCCCGGCTCGCGCCGGGCCCCCCCACGGGCCGCGTCGCGCGCGGCAATGCCATTGGTAGCCTCCTTGCGGCTGGGAGGCGCGCCATCGCGGGTGCCAGCAGGCACTATGAAGAGTGCAAGGATGCGACTGGCGCGCCAGCTCGTGCGCGCCACGTCGCGCAGCTGGGCACGACGGCGCCAGACGCGCATTGCGCTGCGCATGGTTGGGCGCAGGCATGGCGCGCGTGGCATGGGAAGTGGCGCGCCTCTGCCCTCTGCCTGTGCGCTCGCTCAGGCGCGCAGCTGACGATGCCGACGCCCTGCGCGCGCTGCGAAACCGCGCGGGTGCCCGCGGGCATAGCGCTACGAGTGCGTTGGAAAAGCGGGGCCACGAACAATGCCCCAGCGCGCGTAGCACGACGCATGGAGGTCTCGAGGCACAAGGTTAGCACGCGGCGCTTGCGCAGCTGAGTAAGCGGGCATGGGCGATCCCCTGGGCGCGCTGACCAGTACATGGGTGCACATAGGTGGCGTGCAACGCGAGACCTGTGCCGCCGCGCACTGGCAATGCGCGGGCCCTGAGCGGTAAGACAACCGCCATTGAGGAGACAAGCGCGCACACCTCTGTCCAAAGCTGGCGCGGCAGAGGGTGCACAGATTGCCGTGCCCGCGTGCCGAAGCCAAATGTTTCAATAAATGGCGTAAACATGATTTTGCGGCCGAAGGCGCAACGAGCGTGCCAGCGCGCTTGAAGCTACGCGCTCTGCGCATCGTCCGTCCGACCGCCAGGGCGCACAACATGCGCCAGAGCGTGGGACAACGGGTCCCGTTGTCAAGTGGGTGGCGCAGGTCTGCCCCGATATCCGATAGCCCTTCAATTGTACTAAAATTGCGGCCTTGTCGAGTAAGCGAGCAGGCGGCGCGCCGGCAGTGAAGCTACCAACTGGTCGTGGCAATGGCCGCCCGCGGTGTGTAGCACGCAGGCGGGGCCATTCCCGGCTCCTTAGGGAAGAATGTACGACGAGGTTCCCAAGCAACACACGCGGCATGCCGGAAAGCCTCGTCCTGGAAAGAGGTCGATGTAAATAGTTGTGGGGTCGTTCACGAAGTTCGCCTGGGGGGAAAACCAAAAATGAAACAAAGTACGGCAGCGATTTTCCGAATTGGATGACGGGGCGGGCGAAGCGACGAACCCAATTGAGCATCGGTCGTGGCGCAGCCGACGTGGTGGCTGAATGTGGACGCATTGCCAGCAACACTCGCTGGCCTTATGCGGTCCCGTCGGGGCACAAACGAGAATCGGCGGCACCAGGTTGGTTATGAAAAGCATGCTGCCCCAAAACGCCAAGATGGATATCCTCCTCGATATCACCCCACCACGATGAGAGCTGCGGAAGCACCTTGGGGCTCGGGCATGCGCAACGACGAACACCATGCTGAAGCCAGTGGCAGCCTTGGTGGTACTGTTGCCCTTGACTGGTGCCATGGATGGTGAAATAAGAGCATCGACGATCATTGGTCCACTCGAGTGGTGCGACATGCTCGCACAAAGGATGGCAAACACAGTCGCACATATCACGATACCGGCCCAAGCATGTGGATCGCTGTTATGCCCGACGCGGCGCCACGGGCAATACCTGTGGGGTGCGAAAGGTCGTGGGAGACGTCGTGGCGCTCCCGTGGGCGAGTGCTCCACGTCGCGAAGCTTGCAGCTGCTACTGCCCTCAAAGCTCGACCCTCACACGTCTAACACGGTTCGGCGTTGGCCCCATCGTGGCCTGCGAGCGCCCAGGCGAATTACCCGAAGGCTTGCAATGCAGCCATTATGCACAAGCTGCTTATGGACGGAGCGTGCTGGCGTGCCAGCTGCGGACTGGCGCTGGGAGCCGACGCAGCCTGGCCGGACGAGTGCGCGGCCCTGGCCGCAGCGCTCGCCGACCGAGCCGGAGCGGCGGCGCGGACCTGCGGGCCAGCTGCTGGTTCGACGCGGTGTCCATGGAGCTCAGTGCGGGCGCAAGCGCGGCCGCGACCGTGCTTCGGGGCTCGCAGGAGGGGGAGGAAGAGGAGGAGGCCGAGCGAGAAAAGAGATGGGGGTGATGGCGATGATGAGGAAATAAAAAACGACGAGGGGACGAGCTGGGGGAGGAGCAAGTAGTAAGGGGGGAAGGAGGGGAAGGAGGGCGATGGTAAAGGGTGTTGGGTCGGAGTATCCATAGGCGCGTGCGGGACGTTTGCATTAAATTGGAAACCCAAATGGTGCTCATAAGGTAGCGGAATGAGGCGGAGGAGGAAGAGGAGGCGGAGAACGGAGGGAGGGACGGAAGCGGAGGAAGGAGGGGTGTGGGCAGGACAGAGGAGGATGGAAGAGCTATCCTCGTGGGGTCCCCCCCGTCCTCCTGCTCCTCCTCCTCCTCCTCCTCCTCCTCCTCCTCCTCCTCCTCCTCCTCCCTCCTCCTCCTGCTCCTCCTCCTCCTCCTCCTCCTCCTCCTCCTCCTCCTCCTCCTCCTCCTCTCCTCCTCCTCCTCCTCCTCCTCCTCCTCCTTCCTCCTCCTCCTCCTCCTCCTCCTCCTCCTCCTCCTCCTCCTCCTCCTCCTCCTCCTCCTCCTCCTCCTCCTCCTCCTCCTCCTCCCCCTCCTCCTCCTCCCCCCCCTCCTCCTCCCCCTCCTCCATCGTCGCAGTCGCCGCCGCGCTCGCCCGCCGTCGCCGCCACCCGTCTAGGCGTCTAGGCCGCCGCCGCCGCCGAAGACGTCGGCGAGCGTCGTCGTCGAAGGCCGCTGCCGCCGGCCTCGCAGGCCTCCAGTAGCCTGCGGCGCCGCTCCGCAAGCTGCGCCTGGCAGTCCTGGCAGGGCGGGCGAGCGGAGAGCACCGGCCCCCACCTCGTGGCAGGGGAGGCGGACGGAGGCGGGGGCCCCCCTGACGGGGGCGTCGGAGGATCGCGCCGCACCGCCGATGCGTCGGCGCTGCGGGGAGGAATCTGTCGGCGATGCCTGGGCGACGCCGGCGATGTGGAGAAGATCGGGCTGCACATGGAACCGCATCGCCGATGCATCGCCGATGCGGCGCGAGCCTCCGGCCCCATCTGTTCGGACCCCATCAGGGGGGGCTAGATCCCCGCTGCAGGGGAGGAGGACGAAAGGCAACCCTCAGGACAATCTTGTCTAGGGCTCCCAACTTCGCGCTTCGCGCTGCGCGAAGCGCGAAGCGCGAATAACTTCGCGCTCTCGCGCCGCCCTCCCAGAAGGGAGAATAGGAGGACGAGGAGGAGGGGGAGAAGGAACGAGGACCGCGAAGCGCGAAGCGCGAATAACTTCGCGCCCTCGAGGGAGCCCTTGATCAGGGGGGGCTAGATCCCCGCTGCAGGGGAGGAGGACGAAGGGCAACCCTCAGGACAATCTTGTGTACGGCAGGTTCGTGCCGTGTCGACCCCGGCGCTGGTTTTTGACACCGCAGGGATCGTTCAACCTTGAACGATCGGCCATTTCCGCAACGTCCAATCGTTCAACATCGACCGATTCTGGGCCGCCGCCGGCGTTCAAGGTTGAACGTCCGCGCTGGGGTCGCCGCTGGTCGACACGACGCAAACCTACCGTAGATCCCCGCTGCAGGGGAGGAGGACGAAGGGCAACCCTCAGGACAATCTTGTTTACGAGGGCTCCCAACTTCGCGCTTCGCGCTGCGCGAAGTGCGTAGCGCGAATAACTTCGCGCCCTCGCGCCGCCTCCCAGGAGAAGAGAGGAGGATGAGAGGGAATCGGAGCCGAACCGCGAAGCGCGAAGCGCGAATAACTTCGCGCCCTCGAGGGCGCCCTTGTGTACCTCCCTCTGGCCAGCGGATCGCCGCCCCTGCCCCAGACCGAGGGGGGCAGGAACACCTGCCGGCCGGGCCGGGCCGCCTTCGCGCTGCCAAGCCACGGCGCAGTGTGGAGAAAGAGGCGGCGGCGGCGGAGGAGGAGGAGGAGGAGAAAGAGGAGGAGGAGGAGGAGGAGGAGGAGGAGGAGGACGACGAGGAATACGAGGAGGATGAGGGAAGAGGAGGGAAGAGGAGGGAGGAGGAGAAAGAGGAGGAGGAGGAGGAGGAGGAGGAGGAGGAGGAGGAGGACGACGAGGAATACGAGGAGGATGAGGGAAGAGGAGGGAAGAGGAGGGAGGAGGAGAAAGAGGAGGAGAAGGAGGAGGAGGAGGACGAGGAAGACGAGGAGGATGATGATGAGGAGGAGGAGGAAGAGGAGGGAGGAGGAGGAGGAGGAGGAGGAGGAGGAGGAGGAGGAGGAGGAGGAGGAGGATGAGGAGGATCGAGGAGGAGGGCCATGTGCGGCATCCATCCTCCGCATTCGCCCACGCGCGCCGCGTTGCGCCCCAGAAGGGGCTGGCCCTAAGCGGTCCGCGCAGCCTCAATAGCGTCGATGGGAGTGGGGGGATACCCCGCTATATTCCTCCCTTCGCCGACGCGGGGCTGGCGGCGTCGATCCCACGCGCAAGCGCGGTTTGTGGCCGTGCGGTCGCTGGAGGCCGCAGGTGGTGCGCGGCGCCGTGCCTGGACAATCAGAAGCGGCGGCGGACAATGACAGCGACCGCGACGGTTACACCAACATGAACAATGTGAACAGGTACGAGATACGTTCGGGTCCAATTCGACCCAGGCCACTACGTGCCGCGGCGCGGATGACATGCTACCAGATGAGGCGCAGCAGGCAGGCCGACTGGAATGACCTTGCCCAGTTGGTGCATGCGGCGCTGCACGACCAAATCGTGGAGTGCAAATAGTTACACCATGGAAAAATTCAAATACGTCGTTGTAGAGGTGGGCGGCCGCCAGTACAGCGACTACTACGGCGACCAGTGCGGTGACCGGTGCGACGATGATTACGGTGACCAGTACAGTGATCAACACAGCGACACGTACGGCGACACCGCCCAGTACGGGGACCAGTACGACAACCAGGGCTACGAAGGCTCCCGCGACGTTCCCATCCCATGTGAGGAAAGGCATGACTGGCTCTGGCTGGTCTCGCCTCCCTCAGATATCCAGAGCTACAACCTCCGGGACAACGACGGCCGTCACCACGGTGACCACCAGCGCGACGCGGAGGGGAGCAACGACTCCGCGGCTGCGAGCTGCGACACGGAGGCGAGAAACGCGACGCGGAGGGGAGCAACGACTCCGCGGGGGTGGCCCACGACTGCGCGGATGTGGGCGACGACTACGCGGAGGTGAGCAAGGACTACGAAGAGCCGATTGGAGTGTGTCGAGACGAATAGAGGGGTCGTTTGAGCAGGGACCAACCGTCCCAGCATTCTTATAAGCCTACCACGGAAGGTTCTTAGAACCAAAAAACGAATAACGAAAACAATGTGCTTAGAACATACACCCGATGTGACAAAACAAAACAGCCCCAGCCAGAAATGATCTAGGAACATTTCGTGAAGACCACAAAAGGTTATTATAACATTATTTGGTAAGCCTATAGGCGAGCTTCGACGCCTCGCCACTGCTTGAGTCGTGGGCAATTACCGCGACGAGCAGTACACCGACGTGCAGAGGGACGCGCTCCTCGACTGCCTCCTGGCCGCCGCGGGGCCTGTGCCTCCCCTGCCCCCCCCCTTGGGCGCCTCAACCCGAGACAGGCCCAGGGCATAAGCCTTAAACGCAAGGTTAAGATGGGTATCCCCCCGCGGCGGCCTCCTTTGCGAGGCGGATACGCCAGGGGCGCTCGTCGAAGGGAGTCTGCGAGTCGGCTTGACCTCAACGGGCTCGAAGGGGCACTTGCATCCTACGATGCTGGTAGCAGGCGCTGGTCAGGCACCACATCTTTGAGCGCCAAGCCAGGCTACCTCGAAGAAATTGGTGTGCATATGAAGCGCCAGCTTGGCGCATCTTCCAGAGGGCGGCCGAGTCCTTCCAAGACCACAATGTGCTTCAAAACAACAACGCTGTCCAGAAGTTATTCTACATGGCAGCCGCGAAAGGGCAGCCAGGCGTAGCGAACTTCTTCCTGACGCTCTGTGACGACGAGCGTGCCTTCGATGTCATATAGGATCGGATCGCATACGCCTGAGAGATAGACAGGGCCGACCGTTCTCACCACAAACCCTGCATCCCCTTACTGCTGGTGCCTTCCTGCTGGCTCCCGTTCCCTGCCCCTGCACATTCCACGGTGCCAGAACGAGCGCGAACTAGCAATGAGAGGGTATGGGGAGGGCGCGGAGGCGCAATTGCAGCCGAGCGCTGCCCGTTGCCCCCCAACTCCGATCCGGAGGTACTCCACCCCGCACTTCCTCGCCACCATCCCTGCCCTTCCTTGGCTCTGTCTTGACTCCCCGCGACGCACCGAGCCAATCCCCAAGGGCCAAATCTCAAGGGCCACCTCGCTGCTCGCGGCCACCCACCGTGCGCCGTCACGGCGGCGAGGCCGTTCCCGCTTCCCTGCTCCTCTTCCACCCGACATCGTCCGGCCTCCTCCCTCCACTCTGCAGCGTCGTACTCGGGCGTGGGAACGGCCCGCGGCCGCGCTAGACATGCGCCTCTGGGGCACCCGTGCCCGCGCGGCGGCGGCTGGGTGGCGCCAGATGGCGTTGCGAAGAAATGAGGAGGATAATGAGAATGATAATGTCAGTTCTATCAGTGAAAATCGGCCCTACACCTGGGAAGGGGGAGGGGGATCGGGATCAGGCTCCTGTCGAGCCCCCTTCGCAGCATTGAACTGGGCCGTTGGCCACAAGCCCCGCTCGATCCTCTTCAAATGCTCCTCCGCGGTTGGCGTGGCCCTTGAAAGGCAGGGCTTCTTAAGCTTAAGGTTATGTTGGCTCGCGAAAGCCCCGCAAGACCCGCATAACCACAAACCCAACTTCGTACACAATTCAAAACGTGTGTTTCGTGCACCCAGTTCCCAGCGACGTAAATTTTGAAATCAGGCGGACTGGTTTTTGTTAACTCCCAGTTGATATTCTGGGGCGCAAAACAAGGAGTCCGTTTCCACAGCTCGAGCCGAACCCAGGAAGAACACCCCAAACAGCGCTTGCATCTCCGCTCACTCTTGTCCCGTGGATGGGAGGACCCCCGGGCGGAGACAATGCGCGAGGCAGGTGGCGGCACGTGCGGAGGCGAGGGAGGAGGAGGAGGAGGAGGAGAGCCTTCACTGTTCTGCAGCCTGGCTCGGGCCCTGTCCTCGGCACGGAGGGCCAACGCGGCCGACAGCAGCAAGCGGTGCCTGGTCAGGCCTTCCGCCGGATCTCCAGGACCTCGTGCCTCGCCGAACCTGGGACGCGAACCTCGGCAGCTTTGGCACCCACGAGTTCGTCGATAACTGTGATGCCAACTGATTTCCAACTCTCGACTCTGCCCTGGGCGATGGCATCTCCATCCTGGTGCGAATGCGCGAACTCGGCGCTGATGCATTCCACGTCCCTGGAGATCAGAAGCTCCTGGATGCTCGCCCACACATCGGCATCGGCCCCGTCCGGGACCAGGAATGCACGCGCTTTCCTCCCCAAGAAAACAGGTTTACAATCGGTGTACCTTTAAGTCGGTGCACCTTTAAGTAAAAACATGCTCAAAAAAAAGTCCCCAGGCTATTGTTTGACTATTTTTGGATATCCCCCCTGTAGAGGGACAGGCCCGACATTTTTTGACTATGTTTGACTATGTTTGAACATTGTTTGACTATTTTTGAATATGCCCAGACTATTTTTTGACTATGGTTGACTATGTTTGGCTATTGTTGAATATTCCCCCTGTAGAGGGACAGGCCCAACCTAAGTGTACCCGTTCGGGCCTCGGCGGCACCAGATGGCGAGCCACGGGGCGTTCCGTTCCCCACGGGGCACGGATCGCTTCGAAGCCCAGCATCCCACCAGAGATCTATTGAAAGGGCCCTGGGACACACACACACACAAAACAAAAAATACACACAAATAAAAATGTTCCCCATATTTTCCCATATGTTCTGGGTTTCTGTCTTCCCCCCACTTCCCATGTGTTCCCATATTTTCTGGGGAATCGACGATTCATTGTGTCTGTGTGTGTGTGTGTGTTCTTTTCCCTCCTGATATATGACTGGATCCTTGGGGGGTCGAAACACTCCATGATTACGACGCCGAGTGCAACTCGCCGAAGGCATAAAAATCTGCTGTGTCGCCGCCTCCGCTACTCCGACCGCAAAACCAGCCTCGGGAGTGAAACCCCTGAGTCGGGTCGCTTCGTGTCCACCCTGAAAACATGACCAGCCAAGCGCGCTCCGCAAAAAGCGGCACTGGCCTGCCCAGCGCACCCCTTTTCGGCACGCAGCCACGTGGGAGCAGGCTCCGAAAGTACAGGGCGTCCCCCGCCACCCCCACTCCGACCACGCCTCCCCCGACCATTCCTTCTGCCTCTGGAGCCCGCTCTCAGCCCAGAGGCAAAAATTCAAAGGGCCTCGGGGAGTCAACCCGGCGACGGGTCGGATTTCGACCTCCCCCCTTTCCCCATCCTACCCGTTCGTCCGGCCCGAGCCCCCCCCCTCCCCCGGGGCGACGACGATAGCGATAGCGGTGCCGACGAAGAGGAGGCATGACGAGGAGGACGACGGCCATGAGAACGACGACGAGGGCCGCAGGGCCGCTCTCGGGACGAGGGGGAGGAGGGCGACAACGAGGGGGAGCGTCGGCCTCGCGGGTCACATGTCCTCGACAAGATCACGGCAGGGCGCCAGTGCTGGGGCAGTGAAGGCTCCGTGACCGCTCTGTCCCCGGGAGGGGCGGGCAGGCGAAGAGGAGCAGGACGTAGGGCAAAAACGCAGACCCCTCGGACGACGAGGACGACGACAAGGAGCGGAAGGGCGGGCCGGGTGCCCGGATGAGGAAAAAGAGGAGGGGGAGGAGGAGCAGGAGGAGGAGGAGGAGGATGAGGAGGAGGAGGAGGAGGACTACTCCAAGCTGACATACGAGCAGGAGGGGGAGGAGGACGAGGAGAAAGACAAAGCCGAGGGAAAGGATGGAGACGAGAAGGAGGAGGATGTTGATGATGATGTTGATGATAATGATGATGATGATGATGATGATGATGATGATGATGATGATGATGATGATGATGATGATGATGACGATGATGACGATGATGATGATGATGATGATGATGAGGAGGAGGAGGAGGAGGAGGAGGAGGAGGAGGACGGGAGGAGATGGGCGACGACGGCGACGGTGCGCGTCTCGGGAGGAGGAGGAGAAGGAGGAGGAGGAGGAGAAGGAGGAGGGGGAGGAGAAGGGGGACGAGGACGATGACGATGACGACGACAAGGAGACGACGGGGCGGCAGGTGGCAAGAGCCCACGCGCGAGAGGCCGCGCGGGAGGCAGACATGGAAGCCTCCAAATGGGGTCCGAGTACATGAGATTGGAGGAACGTGCCGCAACCCCGATGCATCGGTGACTTCAGCGACACATCGGCGCTGTCGGCGTAGAGAAACTCGGGCTCCACATCGAGTCGTATCGGCGATGCATCGCCGATGCGGCGCGATCCTCCGACCCCATCCACTCGGACCCCATTTGGGAGGGCTGGAAGACAGGAGGGAGAAGGAGGAGAAGAAGGACCGGGGTAAACCCAGGAGTCATCAACGATGTTGGAATCAATTCTCCCTCCAAGCTCCCTCTTCATAGGCCCCTACAACGTTTCATTTCGACAGGGGGAACTGCCTCGGTGGAAGACAAGTGTTTGAAGACCCTGAATAATGCCAAAACATGTTCTAGGGATTCCAACGCCACGGATTAACCTGATTGTTGCGTCTTGATCATCCGAAACATTGCCAAAACGCCATTCCTGGAAATTCAACGCCGCGAATCAACGAATATAATTGTTGCACCCTCATAATCCTGACTACTTCCAAAACACCTTTCTGTTACGTTGAACATGGGCACCCGTGAAACGCCGGCAAACTTTGAAAACGAATGTGCGCGGCGCAAAGGCGAGAACCACATGTTGAAAAAGAAATGCCCTCAATCCGTAAAACCTTTGCAAATGTTTAAAAAATGTGCGCGGCGCTACGGCGAGAACCACATTTTGAAACCGTCCCGCCCTCGATCCGCGAAACTCTTGCAACGTGTTCAAACGAATGTGCGCGGCGCTAAACCGAGAGCCACATTTTGAAAACGGGTCGCCCTCAATTGGCTAAATTCTTATTTGTTTCGAACGAATGTGCGCGGCGCTGAGGCGAGAGCCACATTTTTAACACGACCCGCCCTTCATCTGTGAAACTGTTGGTAGCTTTTAAGCTTCAAGGCCAGGAATGATGAGAAGTCGCAGGCGAAACGCCCGGCCTGCCCTAAAACTGGCCTCGGGGTGCGACAGGGAGAAAATATGTATAAGGGAAAGGACTGGAGGAGGAGGAGGAGGAGGAGAAGGAAGAAGAAGAGGCGGGGGGACCAGGGAGAACGAATCCCTTCGGCACGCCCGAGGTAAGGAAACCACGTGAAATAAGCGTACGCTTTCTGACCTCCAGACGGACTTTTCGGATCGGCGCTGAATCCCCCTGGCGGCGGAGCGCGCCATGAAGGGTGCCCAGCGCCGATCCAAGAGATCCACGCGGACCTCCGAAAGTTCATGACATTCTCTTGTTCTTCCAAAGATTGGGCCCTGTGACATGGGTCTTCAGGGCGAGGAGGCCCTGAACAATGCAGATTCAACCTGGAAGCCCTTTCGAATCCTAACGGCCCAGCCCCGCAAGGCCCCATCTTCGAACCCCCGACTCCTACCCCTTCGTCCTGTGGAAGGTTGGGAGGCAACTCCTGGAAGACCATCGTGGGCGCGATGAGAACCGGTTGGATCGGATTGGGGAGCCATGCAACCAGATAGTGCCAGATCATTCCAGACTAAGCACGACTCAGCTGGATTAGCTGGATTGGCACCGAGGAACAGCAGCGCAGGTGCCGAATTCTTACTCAACCTCCCCGGAGCTGGAACCTAAGGGAGGGGGAGGAGGGGGAGAAGAGACGGGGGGGCGGATCCTCGTCCACTTCCAAACCTTCTTTTCAAGGCTAGCGGCTCTGATCAATTGCTCCCACAGTGCGTTCCATCAAGCCCTGTCCATGACTGTGATGGCCGCGCCAAGGCCTGAACATGCCAGAACCTTCCATTCCAACGGCAGGCGTCGCGTGCTTCACATACCGGCTTACGTAGCACATTCCCCACCCGCTGTGTGTCTCGATGTTCCCCGAAATGTGCCAGCAATTGTACGCCCGCTCCTGATGAGCAATCCTCAGTCCAATAAGAAACAGAACATGGAAATCCGTCACGCTCCGTCTCCTCCACCTGCTCGTTTTCCTCCTCCAGCCCCTGCTCACGCTCATCCTCCAGCGCCCTCCTCATTACTCATCCTGCCGCTCCCCTTTCCTCCTCCTCCTCCTCCTCCTCATCCTGAGGAGCAGGAGCAAGCAGAGAGACGAGGATGGGAAAATGAGGAAGAGGGAGAGGGCCCTGCTCCTCCTCCTGTTCCACGTCACCTACCCTTCAACAGACCGGGTAAAGGCAGGGGCAGGATGGCGCGGCGGGAGGAGGGGTCACCCCATCCAGTCTTCGGGGGGCGGGTCTGGAGGGGGACGAGAACGACGACGAACGCACACGACGACGACGACAACGACGACCAGGACGACTGGCGGCGACAAGAGGTCACGACATCCGACGGCGACGAGCCACGACATCCGACGGCGGCAACAACGAAGGCGACGGCCAAGACCGAGACTTCGACGCAGACGACGAGGGATGACGACTACGAAGACGAAGAGCGGCGACGAGCAACGACCCACGACGACCGGCGAACGGCGAGGACGCCGACCACGGCGCCGGCGCT